GCCATAACTAAATCCTACTCCCCCTTGACTTCTTCCTTTGGGGCCAACTTGTTGGGCTCTTAAGTGTTCTCAATTTCCCCAACAAGTTGATCCAACTATTAAAACGAAGATGACACAATTCAAAACACTTTTATTGCCTCAATGTTATGGTTGGCAAGTCATTGGGGAATTATTTTGGCGGTCTTCAATTTGGTGTTGGAGTTTCTTCAGGTGGTGAGGCAATTCTTTATGTTGTGAATTGGTTGATTGATGATCGGGGTACTGATGTTGGTATTTCAATGTTGTTGGTGGATTTTCAAAATGTCTTCGATTTAGTTGATCATGCGGTCATGTTACGTGAAGTTCGTCTTCGTTGTCCGAGCATTTCGCGTTGGGTTAAATTCCGCTACTCTAATCCAACCAGATTGTATTATGGGAAGCACACCTTATGGTCGTCTTTGGGGGTTCAATAGGGTGATCCCCTTGGTCCTCTTCTTTTATCTTTGGTTTTACAACCCCTAGTGTGTAAAATTAGAGATACTTTTGATGTGTGTCTTTAGGCGTGGTAATTGGATGACGGCACTATTATTGGTGATACCTTGGTGGTGGGGAAGGTTCTGCAGTTGATTATGCATGGAGGAAGGACCTCGATTTGGGTTACATCTCAACGTGGAAAAAACTGAAGTTTTCTGGTCTACAGAAGACCCTCGAAGCAGGCTTGTGGGTGTCTTTCCCCCTAATATTCCTCGACCTTTACATGGTGTTAAGTTGCTTGGTGGTCCCGCTAGTTCTGATTTCGGTTTTAGTGGTGAGCTTGTAATGCAGAAGGTGACCAAGACCATTGCGCTTATAGATAAGGTTGCTATGCTTGATGATCTTTAGTGTGAGTTGTTGTTACCTAGGGCATGTACCGGAGTTTCTAAACTCTACTTTTCTTTGCGTACTTATCCTCTTTGTACTTTTGAGGCAGCTCAACGCACTTTCAATGGGGCTCTACGATCTTCCTTGGAGCGTATTGTTACTGCTTTGGGGCCTGGGTTTGGCGATTGGCAATGGAAGCTTGCAACTTTACCATTTGCGTTTGGAGGGCTTGGTGTTTATTACGTAGGTGATGTTCATCATTATGCTTTTCTTACTTCTCGATTACAGTCTGCTGGGTTGCAGATAAAGCTTCTACGGCATGTTGGCGTTGTTATTCTTGGTCAAGCCTTTAAAGATGCATTGAGTCTGTTTAATAGAACGGTGGAGTCCGAAATTTTGAGTAATTTTAGTGAGGTCGCTGCCCCTAAACTCATGAAGAAATTGGCAGATATATATTTCACAAAGGTTACCACTTCGGCAGAATCCACCTTTTCTTTATCTCCTCGACAATCAGCTTTGTGGAAATCGCAGCAGGGAGATCACACCTCTGCTTGGCTTCGGGCGATCCCTATTTCGGGGTTTGGTTAGACGATGAACGCAAAGACTTACCGATCTGTGTTGTGCTACCGATTGGGTGTTCCTTTGTTCTGTGCTCTACTTGTTCAAGGGTTTTTACTGGGGATATTTTCGACGATCACGCGGTGTCATGTGCCGGTATTGTGGGCATTAACATCGGCATAATGTTGTTCGGGAAACCCTTGTTGATGTTTGCTATCGCTTTGGGATTTCAGCAAGAAAGGAGGTTGACATTGGGTTGTTTGGAGAGAGCGACGAGGCCCTCACACTTACAGATGTGTTACTTTATTCTTGGGATCATGGTCGTGATGTCTGTGTTGACTTGACTGGGTCTTTTTCTTTGACACAGTCTGGGCTTTCTGACTTTGTTCCAGGACAAGTTGTGGCTGATGCGGCTCATTGAAAGCAGGTCAAGTATGAATCTAGTTGTCAGACAATTGGATATGGTTTCCTTCTCTTCTCCTTTTCTTCACTTGGGGGATTAGAGAAGGAGGTTGTTGCGTTGCTGAAGCGGATTCAGAAGTTCTCGATGACTCAGGACATTGGGGCACGTACTGCTGCTCATATTTTCACTAGGATAGGCTTTGCTATAGCTAGAGGAGTGAGGGTCCAGATTATATCTCGGCTTCCCACTAATTTTTTATAGGTTGTATGACTTTGTATGTTCCTTTATTCTCCGTTTTGACACCGTGTTCTGCTTGCTCAAGGGTTTTTTATGGGGATATTTTTGGTGTGGGTATTAAAAATCGGCATAATGTTGTTCGTGATACCTTTGTTGATATTTGTTTTCGGGGTCTAAAATTTTTGCAAGAAGGAAGGTTAACGTTGGGTTGACTGGAGGGAACGTTGGGGCTCTTCGACCTGCAGATATGTTACTTTATTCTTGGGACAAAGGCCTTGATGTGTGTGTTGACTTGACGGGGTCTTCTCCTTTAACAGAATCTGGGTTGTCTGACTTCGTTCCTGGTCATGTTATGCTGGTTGCTGCTCAACGGAAGCGGGACAAGTATAGGGCACGTTGCAGGGCTATTGGCTATGGTTTTCTTCCTTTCTCCTTTTCTTCATTGCAGGAATTAGAGAGGGATGTTGTTGCGTAGCGGGTTCAGGCGTTTGCTAGGACTCAAGGTATAGGTGCTCGTGCAGCTGCTCACATTTCCAGCAGGATCAGGTTCGCTATAGCTAAAGGGGTGGGGCCCAAAATTGTATCTTGACTCCCCACTAATTTCTTATAATTTGGATGACTTTGTAGGTTTTTGTTGTTTTTAATAATAATAATAATAATAATAATAATTGTCTATCTATCATTCTAATATTTATTTTTTTCAATTTTTGTACCATATGTCAAAGGAATTGGTCATGTTCTTATGTATTAAGTTATTTGTTTTTTGCACACTATATGCAATCGTACACTAAAAAATAGACAAATATATTGGAAAAAGAAAAAAAAAAGTTGGTGAAGGACCCTACCTAGACGGCTAGACCCTTCCTATTTCCATCCCTAGCATGAAAATAAAAATAAAAAATAAAAAAAATGGAGTTTAACTATGAGTATTTTTTTTTTTTTCCTTTTTCCAATCAATCCATTCCCTTAATTTGTGATCAGGTCCTGGAAGAGGGATTTATCCATTTGGTAGGGTACTTTCAAAAGAAATGGTCGGCTTACCCCTAATCTATGATATCAATACTGATTTACACGATGATATTACTTTCAATAGTTGTGCATTTTTTTCAGTTTATATAAACATGCATTTAATTTTAAAAAATTAAATATTCATATTAAATTATTCTTATTTTAACACTCTTTGTTGTAGATCTTATATACTTTAATTTGGAGAATATTACATGACACAATTATTCAAAAAAAAAAAAAAAAGTTTAAATATACATACTATGTACATTACATAACACACAACTTTTTTTCTTTTTTTTTTTTTTTTTTGTGAGGGAATAAAACTAATTTTGTTTATTATAAACGAAATAAAGATACACAAAAGTTAGGATATTGACACAAAACTAATGCAGTAATGCATCAGACGGTCCTAGATCTCCAATAATGATATGACAAAATTAGAAATTATAGGGATAGTATAAACATATTATATGATCAATTGTAAACATTAATTTATGACTAAACTAGAGATAAGATCAAAGCTCTCGGATCATCTCCGACTAGAAGGCGGTGGTGGCGGGGAGAGGTCTGAGTAGTTTTGGTGGTGGGGGGAGCGATTGGCTAGCGGGGGGCTTAGCTTATAACCCGTTGTTGGTCTGGCTGTTGCCATCAAAACAACAGAATTCCTTTGTGGAAATCCATTACTTAAAACCAATATTATTACAAGGAACAACGAAAACACCTTCGTATTTTGTTATTAATTATATGATCATGCAAAATATGTGTACGTTATGCCTCATATTTATATTCTAAAATTACATGAATGGATGATGGTTATGATTAGAAGCATACTCTTGAATTAGACAAATAGTTTGATATATATGGATTGGTTTTTAATGGCTACCATGCATGTGTGCAAGAAATTGTAGCGTAGTTATTGTAATTGTTTTAAATTGAATAAAATCTATATTAATGAGGGTGAGCAATCATATTTAGTCATTTATTTGAACATAAAAATAAAATTAGTACTCCATATGTGATATGGATTTCAATGAATTGACGACAAAACATAAACCAATGATCAATCAAAGAGAAAAGAAAAGTTGACCATTTTTATAAATCCTAAAAAGAAAAAAAGAGGGGAGAAATGTCCAAACCCTATGCAACACTATAGTTACAATCTATACCCTTATGACTAAACTACACACATACAATGAACTATTTTCATCTTCACGTGTACGGAACGACTCAACTCGACAAACTCGTTCATATTTAATTATATCGCCAAAATAGCAACATGTCTACTATACATTCGAATGAAGATATCTGATTCAACTGTTTTGCATTAGTCACGTCAATGTATACTGATGTGGCTCGGTTCCTACTCCCTAGATTTGCAACTAGTCCAAAATTATGTATAGAACACAGCTAGTACAATGCTGTAAAGAAATTAAGCAGGAGACAGTGGTACACAGTTTCCGCAATAGGATGCTCTCCCGGCCTTAGGAATGTGGCTGTAAATATTGTGGCCTCGGTCTCATCGTGAGCTTAGTATATTTAGTTCTTTAGGTCCTCGATCGTCAAATCTATCAGGTAAGTTCAACCTTACTCCGTATATAGCTATTCCGAGTTGCTTTCAGTGTTACCTATATCCGAGTCTTTTATCCTTAAATTCAAAAGAAATACCCAGCGCCCACGATTATTTCGTCAAGTGCCTGAAAAAATTGTTTTATGGTGCTTTGGTGATCTCATATTGCTTTCAAAGTTGCAATAGTTTATCATCAAAGCACTCTGTCTGTACTGGTAACAGCGAATCCTCAAAATTCCTGGCTCCCTGCACCTAAAAGACTATCGAACCTAGCAACCTCAGCCTTCAACATAGTCAACAAAACTACTGGTACAATTTTCCAGCATCAATATAAGCATATACGAAGAATAACATCCACATCCGAGTATTCGACAACTTTGGTATGTATAGTGCTACATTATTTCTATGACCAAGTATTGTAGCTGTATTTCTCTAGAAAGCACAGCAAATCTCTGAATTTCATTCTTACAGATAATCAATAAAGCAAGAATTTCAACATAAACAAGACATTGTGCTAACTGCATTGCAATTCGACTTACAAATATCAAGTACTCCAAAATAATTAAATATAAAAGGAAATATTGGGATTATTCCCGAATAACTAAAAAATAAGAATGGGTGAAACTTTGAATCATCCATGTCAAAATATCTAAATATATACACAAACTATCTATATCCCGATGATAGAACAATATACAATCATACCCTATAACCATTTTATTGCTGTTGTTGCTTAACTGTAGCCAATAACTATGACCCCTGTGTCTACCTAAATGAGCAAAGCTTCCTGCTAAGTGCCTGTTCACAGTTTCAGGTTGGCCGTAGTCCCCTCAAGGCAGAAGAAAAAATCTGACAGACAGAATAATCAGTTCATTATAGCTGCACTGTTACTGCTGAAAGCTTTTGCAACATGAATAAAGACCAAATCTGAGAGTATTACAGGTACAACTGGTATAAGAAGATTATAAGTAGTTGCAGGACAAATTTCATAATCTGAAGTTTCACACACCACCTATAAATTGTGAGTCTTTGACAAAATATCCATGTAAGGGTTTACAGATGTAAGCGTGTACTTAATCAAAGTGCTGAGACTGCAATGAAACACACATACCAGATAATAATAAACCAACCTTCTAGTAATTACTCTAATTTCTCGACAATTTATCTACAGATCACTAGCATACGAAAAGAGGATGCAGGTCCAACTTTCAGTAACTGTTTCTCAAGACGACTGTTGGTAATTTCTTTTGATGTGTTAATACCAAAAACAAATTAAGAAACTTTCAATCAATTATCAAGATTTTATAATTTTTACTAATATATAATCAAAGATATAGATAATCAAAATAAGTTTATAAACGGTGAAAAAGTTAAAGCGGTGCATTTATTGAGAAACGGAGGAAGTGTGTCATTATCTTCATCCTAAGAAGCCAAAAACATGATATTATGTCTTCCTAAAAACACTTCATTACCTAAAGCACTCTAACTCATACACCATGTTTTTTTTACTTTGGAGAATGTATAAAAACCAATGGTAAGTTATGGAAGATGCATAGTAAAGCTAATAATGCCTAAATGTGCAAGATCTTTGAGAAAAGATTATTTATACAAAGACTTTGAGAATAAGGACATAGAAGAGGCATAATATATGCATTGGCTTAGAAAAAGGACAGGAGAGGCATAATATATGTTTTGACCTACAAAAGATAGTGCTATAGAAGCTAGGACAGCTAAGTTCTCCAAAAACATGTCGTTCATATTTTGATTACAAAAGGACTCCCTCGTCATGGTTGAGCTCTTCTTTTCTCTGACCACATATACTGCCAGAAAACAGCCAAAGAATATCTCACTGGGGGTCCTTTTTTTTTTTATCTCTACTTATTATTAGAAGAGTTTTAGTAGCTTGTAAACAGAGTCAAGCATAATGCTAGGCACAGGCAAAAGGGAAAAGGGTGCTATATGTATCATAGAACATTTGCGAGAGGAAAAAGGAATCTGAGGCTTGTATAAAGAGGGAAAAATTCCAGTATGCTAAGCATCACACTTTCATAAATAGATCACTCATCTAAATCTTCTTCCAATTTATAAACAAGTACACTTGTCTTTTTATAGCTAGATTCATTCTCAGTATATTGACATCGCTAAAAGAGTATCTTCAAAATTGTACGAAAGGAAGCAATCAATCTATGACATCCCCTATCCTGCCACTTTGGTTGAGCCTTGTTGAAGTCATAAAGGCAATGTTATGGAAAGTTTTGGTATTGATTATATATGATAAAACTATAGTTAAAAGTGCAACAATCAACCCACTTTGGCCCCTCCGCCTTCGTGGCCCTAGCAACAGTCCAATTGCCATATCCAACAGCAAGCACGCCTAATGCCTGCTGTACCTAATGCAGGCAGCTAAGCAGCTTTACCATTTTCCTCGCCCCTCACAAGCCCATCTCACGATAGCCCAGGAGGGCCAGCTCCGAGCTGTAACTCAGTGACTTACCAGAGGCCTTCAGTGCCATGACACTAAAACAACTGGACAACAACCGGTGCATGAATACTGGTGCCTCCTCACACATGGCCATAGAGCATTCCACTAGGTAAATCCCACATTTTACTTCAAGTACGAACTTTAAACTTTGTAGGAAGCTATCCTTACAGAATAGGTTTACCTATGGAATAGGTTTACCAAGCATAGGTATGTATACATCTATACAGAATTTATCAGCCAAAGTATCTGACATATTCACTATCATTCTTCAGTTACAGCTACACTTTCACAGCTTCATATTTCTATGATAAAGCCTTTTTCAAATCTCAACCTTATAAATGTGCTAGCTCTAAAGCACCAGGCATTATTTTATTGTTAACCATAAGGCATAAGCATGAATTGCTAATGACAGTATTTATAGTGAATATATAAGTGCATATTTACAAACGAAACACACCCCTCCATATGAATCTTTTATTTATAGTGAATATATAAGTGCACAGAAATATGTGTCATATGGAAGTAGGAGAGGTCCTTCTGTGCTCCATGTGGGATGTGATAAGTGTTAAGAGAACAAAGCATACTCATAAAACCTCAAGAATTAAAAAAACACTAACCAGAGAAGAACCAGCAGAGTGCTGGTCTAATCTACTTGAGGAATTTGAACCTAGCTGCTTCTGTTTCTTCAAGTCAACTGATTTGCTCATCCCTTCGCTCTTGCCATTGGAATCAATGTCAAAACCAGTTTTTCCACTATCCTCTTCCACAGAGACGCCTTTTAGCTTATCTGTCAGTTCTTTATAAATAATCTTATTGTCATGCGGGGTGTCTTTTAGAGGTTTAGTATCTTTTTTTGTATACTACGTAGCTGCTGCTCTTGCACCATCTATGGCTGCAATTAAACTTGGTGACATCGCAGCTCCTAGAACATTATTTTCAGATAAATCCTTAGGCAAGGATCCTGGCCTTAATGAATAGAGATTCGCTGGATTTGGGAGTGGAAATTTTATTGAATATGGACTTTCCACTGGAAGAAGACTTATAACCGCAGCCTCAGCTACCTGCCCACAAGCAGAGAAATCAACTGCTATAAAGACGGAGAAAGTTGCAAAGAAAAGAAATAAAAAGGCATTTTATATACTTACCTTCCATTCCAGATTATAGACACCCTGATCACCTCGCATTTTTAGAGGATCTATCAATTTCTGCATTAAGGACCAAAGCTTAGTAATAATATTTCACCTAAAACATCCTCAAGGAGATCATAAACGAATGTAAAAAATCTATAATTCAATTATAACACTAATAAAATTTAAAATACCTGAGGTTGTTCACACAGCCAACAGAAATCTGTCAGTGCTTCCAGCCTCGCCTATTGATCCCACAATGTGCATGGTTAAAAGTTGAAAAAAAAAAAGGAAACTCTGTGCCCGGAGCACAAAATACAAGTATTTCTGATTAGTATTAAAGAAACAAAAAAGATAAGAGGTTTGTTTCCTACCCCTTTAGGTACTGCTTTCCAGGATGCCAGCTCTTCACGTCTAAGACAGCCAGCAATTTCTACACAACCTAAATGAATATAACATCATCAATACACAACTAAACATGCATAAAGAGAGTACTTTAACTTTTTTTGGTCTTCTTGCTGAAGCATGTGATGATGTACCTATAAGCTTTGAAACTGGATAATGCTCAGGAAACTTGAGATCAGTCACACCATCCACGGCATATATCTCCCTGTAAAATTCCTCCATCGCTTTTATTGTAGCCACATCTGGGACCTTACTGGCAGCATGAATCCAAAGCCGACCTTTACTTCCAAAGATCATTAGAATCAAATTTACATTCAACTCATAAGAAAAACCCACATATACACAAGCAATCTGGTAAGTATTACTTTCACGTGCTACCAAAGTGCTAGACTTGCCTTCAACAAGCAAAATGAGCTGATCCAAAAAGATTCAATATTAACCTTCCAACAAAAGATAACCAATTACAGAATTATCATCTGATATTACTGCAAGGTTAGTATTTGGTGTGATCCATAGTGTATATGTAGATATCTTTTACTCAGGGAGGTAGTATCTGACATTAATTGTCCCAACAAAATATGAGTGACATAGAACAAACAAAAAAATGTTTTAAAATAAAACCTGGGTGAAAATGAAAGAACCTTTTACTAAAAGGAGGGAGTTAGACTAACAACTTTTCTAGCTTATCCTCACCACTATTAAATGAATTATCTGTGTTCACTTCATAATATTTGTCTTTTCAGCTTACATATATCTTATATAGGATAATAGGAATACTTTTTTTAGGGCATCTTATATGGGGATACATTAGTTGTTACCCTGTAGCTATATGATAATTTCTACTTGAATGTCATATCTTGTACTTTTTTCATATAGGTCGTTTTATTTTACATGGTAATTCAACATCAAGCCCTATCTCACGATGGGACAGAGGGTAAGGAAACTAAGGGGTCAAGTGATTCAGCCACAACTCCAACCTGGTTCCTCTCTCATAGACTTTATGTGTGAAGATATGTCGTTGAAACTCTAGATAATCTAATAGATATGCACTTAGATCCTACACTTGAGAACATGATACGCTCCTGAAATAACATATAATTCAAACTAAAATTATATATATAAAAAACATAATATGATATTATGATAAATGAACATGTCATTGTGATAAAAGAGCATGGAACATGAAGAGAGATACATTCGTTTCTTTTTAAATATGTGCTCCTGATGTTCATCATGCACTTGCATATAGGATCTTTTTTGCACAACCCAAATACCTATTTACTTAACCACAAAATTTTCAACAATTTGAGGCTTTGACTCTGTTTTCAAACATTCTTAAATTTAGTATAGTTTCTTTTTGCGAGTTTCGTAACCAATGCGAATATCATATCAAACATCAACATCAATACTATTCCATCAATATTACCATCAAACAAGGAGCCTCATATAAACTCTTTTCATCTTAATCTAATCATTTCATAATTTATAGTATCAACTATTATACAATTATACAAATCACAAACAAACCAAATATCTAACAGTCAAATCAGCGTTTTGAAGAGTGGTACTCAAAACACCCCAGATTCGATCACCTATATAACAGTCAAATCAGTATCATATGAAAGTAGGACTGTAACTCCCAATGCACCCAAGATAAAACTAAGAATTCAACTTACTACCAAGTACCAACGGAACCTAGCTATATAAATCAAAACAAAACAAATTAAACAAAAAACGAATTGGGTGTTTAATAAATTGAACAAAGAGCCTAAAATCAAAATTGGGTATCAACAATTATAGGAAAAAAAAAAAAGCGAAATTACCCCTAATAGGAGCAGGCCAAGATCTTCCTTCAATACGTTTAATACCATAAACAAGCAAAGAAGCCCAAGGTTGGTGCATTGTCAAACATGGATCTTTATAAAAATCTCCATGTTGATTTCTTCTTCTCATCTCTTAAATTTTGCTGAAAACTTGATAATTACCCTAAAAATTGAAACTTTGTTATGGTAATCGAAATTGGCAAGAGTTTTAGGGTTGGAATTTGATGAGCATAAGAGTTTTAGAGTGGAGTTTTAGGACATTGGTGTTTTGACGGGCGACGAAGTTGTGGCTTAAATATCCGGCGATTGTTGAAAGCTCCACGTGCCTCTAAGAGGATGTTTGGTAAGTGGGAATTGAGGGTGGGATTGGGAAAATTAATCCCAATCTACGGTAATTCCCATGTTTGGTTCATGGGAATGGGAAAATAAAGGGGGGAGGGGAATGGGAATAAAATGCTTCTATTCCCGTTATTTTATTACCTAGGGGGAGTAGGTAATAGAGATGGGAATTGAAAACAAGTAATGAATTAACTAAAATGCCATTAATGAAATAGAAAATGGAATGATTTTTGCAAAGGTGTTTTCGTAATTGTGAAATGTTATTTCCTTGCTATTCCCATCTCTTTCCAAACAAGATATTAGACATATTTTATGAATTTCCACCTTCTAAATCCATTCTCATTCCCATCCTATAATCTCCAAAGTACTCCCTTTGTTATAAGAAAAGTTACGAGTTAATAAGCTAATAAAAAAAAGTTGTAAAAAAAAAAGGAAAAATATTTTTGGTAATACCTAACTTCTTATTTTTTCTCTTTCGTAAATTAAAAAAATAATTATTATCTTTGATAATTATGAATTTTTGATTACCAAATATAATAGTTATTTCAATTAAATTACTTAACTATAGTTAGTTTTATAACATTAAATAATTTTTTATAAAAGTAAATCATTCCCTCCCCCACCAGCCCAGCCACCCTCTCCCCCTCCACTATCGTTGCCCGACGCACCTTCCTCGCCGGCGCCTAGGCTTCCCCCTCCGGTTGACCCTACCCCAACACCCCAGCCCCCACCCCAATACCCCCACTTTATTTTCGTCTCCCCCGTGTCGGCTCCCCCACCCCGGCTAGCCAACTCCTACCTGCCACCAAAACCCCCTAGTTAGTAGCCTTCAAATTCTATGAATTTTAGATGCCAAATGACGACCTTCGGTAAAATTATACTTTTAAAGTTGAAATTTTTGGTTCAATTTAACCATTTATGAGAAATTTTTTTGAGGATGTGGAATTTTTTGGAACTATTCTTAACTGATTGTGGTGGGGATATGTAGCAATTGATGTTGGCGATAAAATGGATGTGGAAATTATTTAACTGTGATTAATTGCAGCCAAAATTTCACTTTTTGATGATGATGAAATAGATTACTTCATCAAAACCGAATTTTATGATTCTGATCTTGATGACAAGGATGAGTTCATCCCTGAATCGTGGTTTTTGTTCCGGCGTGTTTTGGTGGACAAACAACTATATGATGAAGTCTTTTTTAGGGGGTTCCGGGGTAGGAGGTAGGGGGGTTTCGGGAGGGGGATGGTGGTTAAGGGGAAGGCAACGACAAGGGTGGGGGAGGGGTGGCAGGCCAACGAGGGATAGGCTGGGCGCCAACGGGGGTGGGTGGTGGGGAGGGGGTGACTTTTCTAAAATATTATTTCTAAAATAATTTAGATGAAAAAAAAAATACACTAAGTATATTTAAAGATTTAACTAAAATTTATCATTAACATTATAATTAACTTGGTATCAATAATTCATAATAACCAAAGATGATAAGTTTTTTTGCAATTCACCAAAGAGAAAAATAAAAATTAAAGGGTTACCAAAGATAATTTCCCAAAAAAAAAAAAAAATTCAGTGTAAGTATATCAAGTATAATAGTCATTTTATCAATTAGTTTGTGGGCAACATAGTAATTTCCCAGCTTTCTTTTTCTTCTCAATCCTATATTTCCTCCATTGTTGGCTTCTCCATCCTCTAACTAGGGTTGTTCACAATCGGGTACCCGAAAGGCGGGTACCTGGGTTTGCGGGTAGTTAATTACTCAGCCCATGACCCGACCCGTGAAATCTGGGTCTCGAATTTCCTGAGTCAGGTCAGAGCGTACCCAATTAAATAATTATAAAAATAATTGCAAATTTATTAAGCTTAATGTTTGCATTTGAAAGCAACAAAAAAATACTTCTCATAAACAAATCAAAGAGAACAAAATTCAACCAGGGAATTAGAACAAATTGACAAAGAGAAAAGAGTTACAACTTACATCCTCAAATAATACACTTTATAATACAAATTAATAAAATATAAAATAAAAAATAAAAAAAAAAAAAAAAAAACAAACAAACAAACATAGGCAAAACTCCAGTAAAGAACAAGTCATCATTCACATTCAAATCTTTACATATTTACAAACCCATCACCATTTTTCTTTTCAAATACTCTATTTTTTTTTCAAATTCCCGTTGTTGTGCTGCGCGCTGTGGTGGGGATCTCTCGCACAGTTCGATTCGATGGTGGTGGAAGTGGTGGAGGGTGGAAGAGGGAGGTTTTCACGGAGGTTGTGGAAGGTTTTTGTGGCGGAAAAGTAGCCATTATATTTCTGGGATCAATTGATGAGTGTAACATTTCTGCCATTAATTCAATTTTGGAGTACGTGGTGGTAGGAAAGAAAGAGATAAGAGAGAGAAAGCACAAATTGAATTTAGAGAGTAAGTTAGTGAAATGAGAGCGAAAGAAACATCAATGATTCAGTGGGTAATGTGTTCATGCGGCTACTACTCTACTAGACTACATGGGTATTGAGTCTATTGACTATTGAGTAAACCCTAAACTCAAGTGTTTTTCAAGAAAAAACAGGTAAAAAAAAGGGTATTTATCGGGTACCCTCGAAACTTAATTAGAGTGCGGCCCATTACCCGACCCGGAATTCGAACTTTTTAACGAGTCGGGTACTCGACCCACGAAAATGAAAAAAAATAAACAAACTACCCGTCGGGTAGTTTGCGGGTCTTCGGGTTTTCGATTCGGGTCAATCAAGTGGGGTTTTATTTGAACACCCCTACCTCTAACAGTCAAGCTAACTCCATCATCGCCTCTTCCATTTCCACCACCTGAGGTGGTTAAAATTGTTGTTGCGAAGAAGATGCTTCCCCTAAGGGGTTGATATGGGCCTACTTGACACTCTTTGTTACTAGGGTTTCGTTTTGTTCCTTTGCGAAGCGGGGGCGAGGGCTCGAAGAAGAAGAGGAGGATGACTGGGGAAGAAGAAGATAAGCAAAAAGAAGGAGAGATGGTGGATGTTGTGATGGGTTTCGGCGGATAGATGGTGGTTGTGATGATGGTGGTGGCATGGTTGAGGTGGGTGTGAAAATGTGAATATGAGTGTTTTATTTTTTAAAAAAATTGAAAAAATAGACTAATTTACAAATCAGTCTGATTAACTGGGGCAAGCCCCTTCATTATTTTTCTTTACGCTTTGAAGTTTACTGTACCCAATTACACCTTTGAGACGGTTAAACACGAATATATAAAGTACTCAATAAGGCTTGAGTAAAAAAAAATCTAAAAAAGTTAATATTTAGAAGTATATCCCAGTCAAAATCTAACAAAATCTCACATGATATGTTTTTTACGTTAACATTCATGAATTTTTATAGTCTTTTTAAAACTTGAACATAAAAGTCTAAACTTAAAGAATAAAAAGAATGGAGGGAGTAGAACTAATGTTGAGGCATCAAGATGCATTTTGTTCACGTCACTCTTCCGATGATTAACCCCATAACGTTGAATCTAGTGTTGACCCATATCCGTCACGATGTGTACTTGACATCGGTTGCCTTATTGACATCGGCAGCTGCCACCTTGGTGTCGGTCACCAACATGATGTCGATTGTCACCAATAACATATCCATGAAGATTTCTCTTTTAGAGAGATAAGAAACTCTTTGAAGACCTTTGCCAACGAATGGCATCAAGACAAATTAAGGTCACTTCTCGGACTATCAACATCAGTTCAAAATGGGCCTTAACGCTGTTTTAGGTAAAAAAAAAATATATATGGTTAGACTAAGATCTTTAGTAGTGGGCTCAAGATCAAACAAACTTGGTCCAATTGGGTAATTGGGTTGAGAATACCTACACCAAAGAGCACGTTAAGTTGCCTTGGGGGTGTGTTCGGAGGGAATCCCTCTAATGCCCAAGTCAGTGCGTATAATTGATAGGCTGTCATCGAGCCTACCCAAGAAAATACCTAATTTGATTGGTCTCACTATGGGTAAATAGATAGGACAAGCAAGGATTGATCTCACAAGAACTAAGAGGGGCATGCACTAACAAATATCGATTTATGATAAGCTAAGTCAAGTCTTTTTAGGGTTATGAGTTATAAAGAAAAAACTGCTAACAATAATAATAATAATAATAATAATAATAATAATAATAATAATAATAATAATAATAAAAGGATCTTAGAAAGGTATCTACCAATCAAGTCATTCAAAATCTACATTTAAACATACAAGAAATAGCATTTGAGAGGATAAATTAAGGGAAATCATTAAAGACACCCAAGCTACTCTCTTAAGCTAGAAGGGATAACCTAAATCATGAAATACAACCTATTTACATGGTTTCAAAAACATGATATCAAGAATTAAATCATAATCACGATGACACAAACATTCCCTTGACTAGAAATTTTTATTCTCATGAAATTTTTGTCAAATAAGCATAAGGGAGCCTACAACTCAATTTCATTTCCCAATCGTTGGTTGTAGAGACTAATAAATTAGCTCTAACGGTGATCAATTACAAGAACTAACAATGAAAACCTCTTAAACTCAACTAATTAACACCCCACATTAGCTAAATCAACACATGCAAAAAAGTACTTGTGAATTTATCAATGGTCCAAGTAAAGAACTACTCACAAATCATAATAAAATTGAAAACTAAAAGTATTAACTACTAAGAACATGAAATCAAACATTAATCTAACATAAACAAGTAATATATTAAAACTAAAAAAAGATACTAAAAATAAGTAATAAAAACAATAAATAAGAGAGAGTAAGAAATTTTGATTGACATTGCAAGGAGTTTTCCAGGGGCGGAACCAAAAATTGTTTATTAAGGGGGCCAAACTTAATATATGTAGTATTATACTTGTATTAAAAAAATATCTACATAATGAAAATAATTGGAAAAGGAAATTTAATGCTTGGAGTAGTAGTATAACCTTTTTATAACAAATAGTATAATTGGTACAAGTAAGTGTTGCAAAGTAAAATAAAAAATAAAAGTGAAAAAGTGCAAAGAATAATAAAAAATGAAAGTGTAGGGAGTAGGTTTCGAACTTGGGATGAAAAATAGAT